ACATGGGATGCCCTAACCTGAAGCAGCTTACTGAAAATGAGCCCTCACATGTGCATGTGCTAGTGTGCACCTGCTTCACATGCACACTGCACTGAAGGTGCACACATGGCTAAATGGGGGCCAAATACTGTAGCCAAGGTGGGGATGTGAACTGTGTATCCAGTAGTGCATGGACAAAGTTAGTCATCATTGTTTTCCTTATGCAAAATGCACGTTCACAAGTTTACTGAAAACTAGGCATTGGAATCCTGTGAAGTTTTTGACAAACCTTCTTTGTTGTAGCTGCCATGTTTGATCACACTTTAAATAAGTCAATCCCCCTTTCCAGCAACGGACCAATCCAGATGAGTGATTCAGTAGAGTTACTTATACCTAGGGCCCTACCAAATTCAGGACCATGAAAAATGCATCATGGACTGTGAAATCTGGTCTTGTGTGTACTTTTACCCTACACTATACAGATTTTACCAGCGTTTCTCAAACTGGGAGTCCTGACACAAAAGGATCACAGGGGGGCGGGGCGGTAGCAAAGTTATTGTAAGGGGTTCGTGGTATTGCCACCCTTCTGTGCTGCCTTCAGAGTTGGGTGGCTGGAGAGCGGCGGTTGCTGGCCAGGCACCCAGCTCTGAAGGCAGTGCCCCACCAGTAGCAGCGCAGAAGGGTGGCAATACCATACCATGCCACCTTCTGCACTGCTACCTTCAGACCTGGGCAGCCAGAGAGTGACAGCTGCTGGGCCAGAAAGGGACCAGCTCTGCAAGTAGCAGAGCAGAAGTAAGGGTTGCAATACCATACTATGCCACCCTTACTTCTGTGCTGCTGCTGGCAGTGGTGCTGCCTTCAGAGCTGGGCTCCTGGCCAGCAGCCACTACTCTCCAGGCACCCAATTCTGAAGGCAGCACTGCTGCCAGTGGTAGCACAGAAGTAAGGGTGGTGATACTGGGACCTCCCCTACAATAGTCTTGCAACCCCTTATACTGCCTTTTGAGTCAGGACCCCTAGTTACAACGTCATGAAGTTTCATATGTCAATAGCTGAAATTATGAAATTCAGTCATAAGATTTTAAAAATTGTAATTGACCAAAATGGAGCATGAATTTGGTAGGGCCCTACTTATGCCTAACACTTACACAACTTTAGAATCAAGCTGCATGCCATATACAACATAGGAGTAAGTGTTCTGCTCTAATACCCCTGGAGACCAAGAACATAGACTCTTCAACACTTTCAGCTTCATGTTCATTCTCAAGTACTCCCATGTTTACTGTCAGATGTCTTCTAAAATCACTGCTATGCTGTCCCATGTGCACAAAGTAGCCAGTCTTACAAGATTCACAGCTATAAGCTTCTGAGTGTCTGACATTAGAATTTAGCTCTTATCAGTCTCCAGTGACCTCAATGACAAGTGCTCCAAGTCACTGAACTTCAGTCTGTGGTGTAGCCTGTTCTGTTTGATATAATTCATAACACACAGTGGCATTCTGTTTCACTCAACACAGCTCCAGCGAGCCTTTCCATATTTGTACATGAAGATATTTTCCCTTTCACTTTAACCCTGTTTTCTTCTGGAAAATGTTGGAGATCTTTTGCCTTGTATGGTTGAAAAGACTGGTGTTGTGTACTATATTTGACTATGACCTGATCATATATTCAAAGGGAACAGATTTGTTAGTATGCCATAAATATAACTCCAGGACTAGTTTTCCACCTATACATTTTACAAATGGAGAAGTAGAACATCAAGACCAATAAACTCTTTGGTTTCTGGTACGTTGATTGTTGATTTTTAGACTCCTAACATGAACCCACCACAATGTGCCTGATTACATGTAGAACGTACGTAACAGATGACGACATTATCAGTGCATCAGCTACCTCTAGTGTTAAGCTGTACATAAGCCCCACAGTTAGCATATAGATGCTCTTGCACTCATACCTGAAGTTCAGACTTTGACTTGAACCTTAGTTCTAGACTGTGAAAATGGCTCATAGACTATAATAAGGGGCAACACGGCTGCAAACATACTAGATAAACTGAGGGTTAAGATCAGGATTTAAGAGTAGAGACCAATTTACATGCATAAATATGCCCATATATACACGCATAGAAAACCTGGTTTAGTAAAGTCTTTTATCCAAACTTCACCCCAAAATTCTTTACAGAACTAAAGAATGAGGTTATACAGTTAAATTAAGAATAAAGAAATTAAAATAGCATTAAATGCACATTCTCTATCCATTTGAAGAATTGGAGAAAGTCATATCCACATACATTTGGTTTGCCATCAATAGGACGTGAGATGTAAAATGGAAAGTCAAAATGAACATTGTACAAGTATGGCTTTAATTAACCATTATTTGGGCCTGAGATAGTGATCAGAATCTCACTGATTTAACTAACAAAACTGAAAAGCCAGAGTGACGCCACTGACTTTAATGGGGATCCACTGGTGTAAAACTGGAGTAAGATCAGTATCCACCCCATACTTTGTCTTGAGTTACATAGACATCCCCTATAATAATGTAATTTTTCCTTGCTAAATTCCAAGGAAGTTGACTACAGATGTTGGAGTGTTTACAGCTATTGGTCCTTTGCATAGATTAGACAGGTGAAGAAAAGGCTGGAGATTGAAAACATTAAATGGTGGTGTAAGAAGGGAAAGAGCATTGTGCTCAGCACCTCCTCATGTTCTTCTCAATTTCCCTGACTACACTGGTTCAAAACATGCATCCACTTCATGAGGTCTCATTTATTAAGTCTTGCTATAGAGTGAAACTCGCTTCATTAGTCGCCCTAGTTCATATCCACTGAGTCCATATAAGAGTCCTGGTCAACTTTCTTGTCCCTGTTCAGGATGCCGCCCAGCCCCCTTCCTGGAGCTGGGATTTACTTTAAACAGTCACTCCGTTCCCTCCACCAGCTAGGAGTCCCCAGCTCTCCTCCTTGGAGCTGGGTTGTAACTTATGCCAGCTGTAAGGCCTCAGCTAGCTTCTCTTTCGGGTAGTCCCTTCTCCTCAGTTAGTCCTCAGTGGGTTCAGCAGACAGCCTTCTCCTGCAGGTGACTGCCCTGCTATGTGGGAGGAGGCAGCATATCCGCTAGTTCTCTTCTCCCAGCTCATCCACAATTGCTCGGGTGAGAGGGGAAGCCTTGTCCTGTCCACTATGCAAGGCTCCTGGTCCAGTCCCTTAAAGAAACAGTAACCGACTTTCTCCCAAACACTACTTATTCCCAGGACCACTTCCTCTCCAAAAGTACCTCTTATTTCTTAAAGTGTTTGTGTACATCAGAGCCTCCCAAAAATCTTAAAGGGCCATGCCACCTGATGAAGGGTGGGCTCCCCTGCCCCCACCACTATCTTTAAGTAGTCAGTCTTCCCCATCACGCGTGTAGTGATCATGCATGTCAGGTAAACCTAGCTTTTTAAGGATATTTGTGCCTTTACTGCATCTCTATTAATGCACTGTACTTTCATGCAATAAATACATTTATTAAAAGTTACTTTAGCCTTAAATTTTCTTAATTAGCTATTTTAAATTCACTATATTTAGACAATACATTTTTTATTAATTATGGATCAGCTTCTGATATCCTTACACTAACTGAGTAGGTCCAGGACCTCACTCAACAAATAGTCCTACTGACTGCAAGTCCCTATTTGCAGAATAAGTTACCAGTACTTACTCACCCTAAGTAGCAGCAGCATCTGGCCCTACACTATATAAAGTAAAACATGTAAATATTATTCTGAGAAAACAAACTCAGGACTCTCTTTAACCTATGAGATAGTGCAAATCCTACATTCGTGGCACACCATTTGACTGTGCCTTGACTTAGTTCAGAGTTTTGGATGTGTAAGGAATGCAGGATCAAGTTCTCTATTTTGAAGATTTTCTATATTTTATATGGGATAAACTTTCAGCTTGCTTCTCAGGAAATTGGATGCACAGCTCTTAAAGGGTACTGAGAACTGTGCTGAATTCACTAGGCAATAACCTGAAAACATATGACACTTAGATTAAGTTTATAATTAATACTGAAATAATGATAATTTAGGGCCTAGTTCTGCAAACACGCACTTATAACCAGGTGGAATGGGACACTTAATAGAAGGTGTAATGCTTACTATGGCGAGTAATGTTTGCAGGAATGGGCCCTTGGTGCTGTATGATCTTTAGGGACTCTGAAGTCGTGCATAAAGAGAGAGGCAGGCTTATTTAACTGAATTTACCTTGCTATAATTTGATTATGAATTATTTAGTTAGCAGTCTTTGTTCTACAAGAAATAATTAAGCTAATCCAAAAGCAATGCTTTAGGATTGGTATCAGCTGCATGTATAAATACTGTGACTGGAAGTCTGATTTGCATGACTTCACAAGAGGAAGATGCAGATGTGAAGAATAAGTACAATTCAGCAGCACGCACACAACATGCAATATAGAGTATGTGTGCATTGTCCTAGTCTGCGATTATAAAGCTACTTTACCTGGGCCTTTGAGTTCAGTCACTCCCCCTGTTTTCTTTTTGCTTTAATGACTATTATTAAACTCACGTCTCAGATCCCAGGCAGGTAATAGTGAGGATGAAGTATAGTATGAATTTTCTTTTATACTAGTGTCTACCAAGCTCAATTAACATAGTGAGGATGCCATTTACTGCTCAAGACTGCTTGCTTAAGAAAAGATGCTAGCACCACATTTTAGTATATTGTTAAAGACAGGCAGACGTAAGTAGGTCCAGCTAAGTGCTATATTCTAGTCCTTAAAAGGCAGCAGTCTGCTATTTTGTATTCATTATAGGATAGTCCTCCAAAAATGGGAAAATTGGGGTAATCAACAGAATGGTAACATCAGCCAGGGAAAGTACAGAGAGGTTGGTGCAATTTGAGTTAAGATGCATTTCTTTAAATTGAGCTGTATTTTTGGCATCGTTTCATGTATTTATGTAGATGAGTCATTGGAAGGATTGTTGTTGTTGTTGTTGTTGTTCTCTTTCTTCAGCAACTTTGAATCCCCACTGATGTATGAAGTCTCAGAGCACCAAGTCAGCGGCACAGACAGTTCAGAAAGCAGTTTGGGGAGCTCTGTCACAGCATGTAAGAAGGTAACTTCTCTCTAAGCTTATTTTATTTTCCAAGGCAGATCTAACCAACAGTGAAGCTCTGCTTTAACTCATGCCTTAATAGGGATTATAAAAATCAATTGATGCACAAAACAATGTCAATGATATGGAAACATTAATATTAAAATCTGAATGGTCTGGGTATTTTGCAGTTTTATTTGGTTAGACTATGTTTGCCAATGATTTGACAATACATGTTAAGTGTAGCAGTGATCACTTTCATAGGTAGTTTTCCATTTTTCCCTTCTTACCAAAGCAGTAGACAGTGTGTGTGAACAGTCCCAGAACTGTGTTATAATAAGTAGTCAAGTTCTAGGACCTTGCATAGAGGTCCAGAGCTCTTCTGCCTATTCTGGTGTCTGACTTAGTTGGACTTTATCAGTCCAAGATCATAAAAGAGTAAGTGTTATTTTGAGGCAAATGGGACATGGGAGACAACCCTAGGAACTGCTAAGGTCAAGGAAAAGCTTAGACTAAGGTTTATGTTTAATTATATAAGTTAAGGGTAAGTTTGGACTAGAACAGTGTGCGCGCATACCTATTAGGAGCAAGGCAGGACAAACATTTATATGTACACTTATTTCACTGTGACTGAGAATATGCCGCTAAAGAACTTCAAACCTTAGTAGCATACATTCCGTGTCCTACAGGGCCAGGTTGTGGCTGTCTCTTGTGTAGGAGCAGAAAACTCAACTAGCCCTACCCCCTAGCCATTGCTTTCACTGCGGAAGTTCTAGCTCACTTCAGCTGGAGGCAGTAGCTAAAAGCCACACTTAAGTGTGAACTGAAATGTTTTGTTTATTCAGGAGAGTGCTTATTTGCTTTTAAGAAAAGAAAGCAAAAGAGGACACGTAACTGGAACCTGATAGGTACTCCCTATATTTCTCCTCATTTCAATGAAAATATTAAGAGAAAAATGTTCAGTGACATTGGTCCCCTATGATTCTTGATTTACTCCTGCCAGAGGCAGCTGCTTCATATCAGGCTGTGGCACGCTGACATGTTAGTGAGAGGAAGATCATGTAGCCAATTGTACCTATACAGAAGACTTCACCCCTGGGGTGGGTCAACCTGGCACCTTTACACACACCAGGCTAACTTTAAAGAGTTTTAAAGGAGGACACCACACCAGTAACTCAGAGCTGTTCCAGCTGCCTGGACCCTTACAGTTAAGATTTTAATAATACAATATGAGAATCAACTTCTAATACATCTGTACAATCAAAATCAAGCAGTTCACTTCTGCATTTTGCCAACAGCAGAACATTTTGGGCACATTTGAGGAATTGTTACAGGATACTTTAACATTCTTTCTGTATGCTTTTAGCCACACAAAAACATCAGCTCAGTCTACCACCTTCTCTTTTATATTATGTTTGTTAAAAGTAAGTTTAATTAAGATTTATAATTGCTGTTGGATTAGAGCCTCCTTGGTCTCCCACTGGCAGGGAATGATTTAAGCATTCCAGCTGATTCACTTGCAAGTTTGAAGAGCTATTTCTATCATGTACAGCTACTGTTAGGCACCATCTCTCATGCTGCCTATTCATTCAGATTGGTCTGTGAAGAATAGGCAGCATGAGAGATGGTGCCTAACAGTAGCTGTACATGATAGAAATAGCTCTTCAAACTTGCAAGTGAATCAGCTGGAATGCTTAAATCATTCCCTGCCAGTGGGAGACCAAGGAGGCTCTAATCCAACAGCAATTATAAATCTTAATTAAACTTACTTTTAACAAACATAATATAAAAGAGAAGGTGGTAGACTGAGCTGATGTTTTTGTGTGGCTAAAAGCATACAG